CTTCCGGCTTTTTTCTTTTTGCTTATGTGGTGCTGAGGAATCGAACCCAAGGCCTCAGGCATGCAAGGCATGCGCTCTACCACTAAGCCACCTTCCCAGCCCCAGTCTTTTTTTTTTTTTTAATTTCCTGTGGGGCTTGAGCTCAGGACCTGGGCTGTTGTCCCTGAGCCTCTTTGTGCTCAAGGCTAGCATTACCACTTGAGCCACAGTTCCACTTCTGGTTTTCTGGTGTTTAATTGGATATAAGAATCTCATGGGGCTGGGAAGGTGGCTCAGTGGTAGAGTGCTTGCCTTGCATGCATGAGGCCCTGGGTTTGATTCCTTAGCACCACATAAGCAAAAATAAAAAAAGCCAGAAGTGGTGAGTGTGGCTCAAGTGGTAGAGCACTAGCCTTGAGCTGAAGAGCTGAGGGACAGCACCCAGGCCCAGAGTTCAGGCCTCACGACCGGACCCCAAAAAAAAAGAATCTCATGGACTTTCCTCCTGGGCTAGCTTTGAACCATGATCCTCAGATCTGAACCTTCTGAGTAGGTAGGATTATCTGTTTATCTGCCTCCCCGAAATATGTAGGCAGTATTATTTACCTCTGTTAGTAATTTGTATTTTCTGATCGTGTGTGACACACCACACACACACACACACACATACATACACACACACGCGCGCATGCGCGCACATGCACACGTGCAGGTCCTGAAGGGGGGCATACACTCAGAGCCAGGCTACTGTTGTAGGTTATTTGGAGATAAGTGTCTCAGAGACTTTCCTGTCTGGGTTGGTTTTGAACCTTGATCCTTAGTTATTAGCTACCCACCACCTGGCTGATTTTTTCAGTTTTATAAAATTAGCTGTTGAGGATGAGTGGATCAAGAAAGTATGTGGCAAATACATATACATCTGTATATGTATATATCTGTATATGTATATACATATATACACATACACACATGGACATATGTGTGTATATACATATGTATATATATGTGTGTATATGTATATGAATTTTACTTAAATCAGGAAGAATAATTTGTCATTTTTAGAGAAATGGATGGCCCATGAAAAGAATTACGTTAAGTATATCAGGCTCAGAGAATGGGACTGATGTTTTCTCTCCTATGGAAGTTATGTCTGAGCTATAAACATATATATATACATACATTGCCATATGTGTATATTCACAAACAAATCCACTGAAGTATGCTATAGGGGAAGATTCCAATGTTGTAACTCTTCTGAACATCTAACTTATGGTTTAACAACATGAACACCAGGAAGCTAGAATGCGTTTTGTCAGATGGGGTGTAGTCAAGGGGAGGGGGACAGATGAATGGAGAGAGGAAGATGAATGAATACAATCATAGTAGTCAGTTCACACACGTGAAAACAGGGCCAGGTAACTTCAAGGGGTGGGGTTGGGAGAGATGGGGGAGGGCAGTGAAAAGGGTGACAATGATCAAGATGCATTGTACTTACAAACTGACATTTTGAATTGAAACCATTTTGTCTAATCACTTAAAGATAATTTATTGTTATTGCTTAATTCACTAGAGGTACAGGTATATTTTTAAGATAAATTGAGACTTTGTTAATTAAATAACAGAATACCAGATTGTTTGTATTTACTGTGAAGTTGTGGTTGTTTTTAGGAAGAGTTTCGACCAGAGTGTTCTTCAGTCTCTCTGCTCTGCTTGGTCTCTTCATTTGTTTTTTTGGACACAGATTCTGGAAAACAGGTATCCCATCTAATGTAAATGATAGTTATGTGCATCAGTGGCTTGTTGGGTAGTGAATGTTTCTGTCTAAGGTCTTCCTAGATTTGTGGTTTGTTCTTTCTATGAAGTAGTGATTTTTTTTAATTTATGCATTTTTTTGTGCAGGTAGCTTTTTCTTTAAGGCTGGTGCTCTACCACTTGAGATATATCACTTCCTGTTTTTTGCTGGTTGGACATAAGAATCTTTTAAATTTATCTTCTCTGAGTAGCTAGAATTACAGGTACTCAGCACAATACTTTTTCTTGATTAGTTGAAAATAGAGTATTATGGGAGACTATTTAATTCCTTAAGATGTAAATTTTTATTATTTTTTTATTATTTTTTGCCAGTTCTGTGGCTTGAACTTGGCCTGGGCACTGTCCCTGAGTTTCTTTTGCTCAAGGCTAGCACTCTGCCAGTTGAGCCACAGTGCCACTTTTGGCTTTTTCTTTTTATGTGGTACTGAGGAATTGAACCCAGAGCTTCATGTATGCTAGGCAAGCACTCTACCACTAAGCTACATTCCCAGTCCAAGTGTAAATCTTGAATAAGAAATTTTATTGCTATACCTGAGCAGAATCCTAGAGATATTATGTTTTTTCTTTCATACTGATTTGATATTATTTTTAATAGTTCATACTGCTATCATCTGTATATTGTAATTGAGATATAGTATAAATGTTACCAATAGTAAATGAGAAGAATTCAAGAAAAGAGTGTTTCATCTTCTTTAAATAGGATTGTCTTACTAATAGGAAACCAAATTTTCTATGTGCTGTGCTTTCAGGTATTTTAATGGGTGAGATGATTCTTCTTAAAAGAAGAAATAAAAGTCACATTTTGCAGGCCAGGCACTGGTGGCTCATGCCTGTAATCTTGCTACCCAGGAGGCTGAGATCTGAGGATTACAGTTTAAAGCCAGCCTGGGCAAGAAAGTCCATGAAACTCTTACTTCCATGAAACTACTCAGAAAAACCCAGAAGTGGTGCTGTAGTAGAGTGCTAGCCTTGAGGAAAATGAAGCTCAGAGATAGTACCCAGGCTCTGAGTTCAAGCTCCAGGACTGGCACCAAAAAAAAATCACATTTTGTTTTTGAATGCTCCTTTTTTATTTTTGTTTCTGTAATTGCAAGATTTAGTGTATGCAGGTGAGAATTCCAATTGTGTGAGTCCTTTGACTAACTACAGCTTAACAAAATGAATACCAGAAATCTGAATCATGTTTTGTCAATATTTTTGAAGTCATGGGGTAGGAAGGCGGACAAATGGAGAGTGGAAGGGTGAGTGGATACAGTTATAATGTTCAGTGTACATATGAGCGAATGGAACCGTTAACTTGAGGAGATAAGTGGAGTTGGGAGAGATGAGGTAACATTGATCAAGATGCATTATACTCATAAACTGACATATTAAGTTGAAACATCTTTATACAACTGTTCAAAAATAATTAACCTTGGCACCACTGGCTCATGCCTGTGATCCTAGCTAGTCAGGAGGCTGGGATTGAGATCTAAGGGTTATGGTTTGAAGCCACATGAGGCAGGAAAGTCCCTGAGAATTGTCTTCAGTTAAACACTAAAAAGCTGAAAGTAGAGCTGTGGCTCAAGTGGTAAAGTGCCATCCTTGGGCACAAAACTCAGGGACAGTGCACAGGCCCTGAGTTCAAGCCCCAGGACCAGCGCCAGTGGCTCACGCCTATAATTCTAGCTTCTCAGGAGGCTGAGATCTGAGGATCATGGTTCAAAGCCAGCCTGGGCAGGACAGTCTGTGAGACTCTTATCTCCAATAAAACCACCAGAAAAGCAGAAGTGGCACTGTGGTTTAAATGGTAGAGCTCTCACCTTGAGCCGAAGAGCTAGGGACAGTGCCCAGACCCAGAGCTGAAGCCCCACGACTGACAAAAAAAAAAAAAAAGAAAACGTATGTATAAGCCAGGTGCTGGTGATTCATGCCTATAATCCTAGCTACTCAGGAGGCTGAGATCTGAGGATTCTTGTTTGAAGCCAGCCTGGGCAGAAAAGTCCATAAGACTCTTATCTACAATACACTGCTTAAAAAACCTGGAAGCAGTACTCTGGCTCAAGTGGTAGATCACTCAACTTGAGCAAAAGATGCTCAAGGACAGCACCTGAGCCCAGTGTTCAAGCCCCAGGAACAGGAAAAATAGAAAAGAAAGAAAAAAGTATATACATCTAAAGATTTAATGTATAGTGTCAGATTAGACATAATTTACAAAGGTCCTATTTTTCTTTGATCCTTAGCATTGCAGAGAAAAAGAACTGTTTAAAGTAAATATAAATAAGAAATTTAAAATTAACTATTTAGTCATTGAAATTGATCTACATCCACTTTGACATCAGTGGCTCATGCTTGTAATATTAGCTATTCAGGAGGCTGTGATCTGAGGATTTAAGTTAGAAGCCAACCCTGGCAGGAAGTCTATGGGACTCTCTTTCTTTTGTTTTGTCAGTCATGAGGCTTGAACTCAGGGCCTAGGCCCTGTCCCTATTTGCCCAAAGCTAGTGCTCTACCACTTCGAGCCACAGCTCCACTTACAGTTTTCTGGTGGTTAATTGGTGATGCATAGGCTGGCTTTGAACTATCATCCTCAGATCTCAGCTTCCTGACTAGCTAGAATTATTGGCATGAACCCCCAGGGCCAGCTTCTGTAGGATTCTTTTTTTTAGAGGGGGGTCCGGTTGTGGGGCCTGAACTCTGGGCCTGGGCGCTGTCCTTCAGCTCTTCAGTTCAAGGCTAGAGCTCTACCACTTGAGCCACAGCGCCACTTCCGGCTTTTTTTTTTCTTTTTGCTTATGTGGTGCTGGGGAATTGAACCCAGGGCCTCATGCATGCAAGGCAAGCGCTCTACCACTGAGCCACCTTCCCAACCCCTTCTGTAGGATTCTTACCTGTAACTGAAAACCTGGAAGTGGAAGTGTGGCTCAAGTAGTAGAGTGCTAACCTTGAGAGAAAAAGCTAAGGAACATGTCAGGCCATGAGTTGAAGCCTCAGTACCTGCAGCACCTCCCCCCCCAAAAAAGAAAAACACAAAGAAATTGACTTAGATTCATGAAAATGTGTTCTGTAAATTAATAATTTTTGATATCTACTCAGTAAAAAATTATTTTAAATAAATTTATTTCGAATGACTTCTAAATTTCTCTTTGCTTCGGATATAATTATTTTTCTTCTTAAAATGCCAGTCTGAATAAATTCTAGAAGCTTAAGCATCTACTTGTAGACTAGATATTTAAATTGCATGGCAAGAAGTGTATCTAATCACATCTTTTTTGTTTGTTTGTTTGATGTTGGTTTGCTACTAGAATTGTTCTTCATAGGTTTTATCTTCCTGGGATTCTTCTTTTATATCCTGATTGCAAGACTGACATCTATGAAATATGATGGTAAGTGAAATTAAGTAATTGTGTGTTGAAAGAGGAAATAGCCATATTTGCAGTTTACCTTTCCTTCTGCAGTTTGACCCATATTGTGTGGACATCCCATTATATGTGAAACAGTGGGCCTCCCCTTTCCTAAAGCACTTAAGTGCTGAACTCAAAACTTCATGCTTTAATGTGCCTTTTTCACTCAAGGCTGATATTACCACTTGAACCACACCTTAGGTCTCTTGGATATGTCAGCCTAGGCTGACTTTGAATTGTGATTCTCAGATCTCAGCCTCCTGAGTAGCTAGTGTTACAGGCATGCACCACCAGTCTTGGACAAGAATTTCTTTTTTTTTTTTTTTTGGGTCCAGTCGTGGGGCCTGAACTCTGGGCCTGGGCACTGTCCCTCAACTCTTCAGCTCAAGGCTAGCGCTCTACCACTTGAGCCACAGCGCCACTTCCGGCTTTTTTCTTTTTGCTTATGTGGTGCTGAGGAATTGAACCCAGGGTCTCAGGCATGCAAGGCAAGCGCTCTACCACTGAGCCAACTTCCCAGCCCAAGAATTTCTTTATCTTAAATACCCCTTTCTCCAAGTCCATTTCATATAATAGAATGCTTATCATCTTTTCTTTCTTGGGCCAACATATTGACGAGCCTAGTCTGTCTTGAACAATTCTGTTGCAGTCTTACCTGGGACTAAGCTGCACGTCAGTCAGGTTCAGGTCCCTTCTTAGAGAGGGCTGCTGTGTACACACAGCCTTCCTGCTGGGAAGGCTACCCTGGCTCTGCTGTGTGACTATAGCTGGCAGTATGTGTGTATATATATATATATATATATATATACACACACACACACACATATAATATATATATATGTTTTTTTCTTTATACAGTTCTCCTGGTATTAACAGCCTTAGCCGGAAGCATTGGAGGAGTTTTCTTGGTGGCTGCCTGGTGGAGATTTGGAATCCTTATGTTCTGTATGCTTTGTGTTGGGCTGGTGCTGGGGTTCCTCACCTCATGCATTATGTTCTTCACTCCACTGGGTAGGAGCTGTGAAACTGATGTTCTGTGGGGTTGATTCATTATTTGGAAGACTTTATTTTTTTCTTTCTAGAGTCACATATTTGCTTGTTAGGGATTTGAATCCTGGAAGGATGTTGCATATCTCCATCTTTTGAAGAGTTCTGGCGATTTTTATGACGTGGCACTTTCGAGAAGGCCCATGTCTTCTGCTGTAATCCTAGGTACTAGGAGGCTGAGATTTAAGGATTACCATTTGAAACCAATCTAGAGAGACCGATCAGAGAGACTCTTATTTCCAACTAATCAGCAAAAGAAAAAAGAAAGTAGAAGTATAACTCCAGCCTTGAGTGAAAAAGCCAAGAGAGAGAACACAGGCCCCAACTTCAAACCTCAGTACCAGTAAGAAGGGAAAAAAAAAAAAAGGACTAAGAAAATCCACAAAGAAGGGAGGTAGACTAACTACCAACCAAAGTGTTTATAAAAGAGAGAATTTAAGTATTTTGTCCTTGTTGAGGCAGAGTGTGTATACCAGCCACGTTATATTGACTATTAGGTGTTCTCTGACCTTCACTTTTCTATCTGTTGTTCTTCTGTTGTGTTTATTTCCTCTGGGCCCAGGTCAGTTATGGCTGTGGACCCAGGGCAGTGGCTAGAGTGAGGTGAGGCAGGCCTGGCCTGAGGACTCCAGTAGCAGCAATTCCCAAGGGATGCGTTGCTCCAAATAAGGCCAGCTGTGTCCCACTGCAGAGTTTCCGTTGGGCTGGGACAATTGCAGCTGGATGTAGGGATGGAGAGATGGGATCTCAAGCACATCTATTGAATCAGGGAGCCCTCTGCCAAAGTTTGTGCCTTGCCCTATACAAATGATCCAGCAGGAGCTGTTGATTCTCAGTGAGCTTTGGCTTTTTTCCCATGTAAACCTTTTGGTTTGTTTGGTGATTCATTTGGTGAGTAGCCTTTGGCATGCATATATATATATATATATTTTTTTTTCCTTTGTACAGTTCTTCTGGTATTAACAGCTTCAGCCAGAAGCATTAGAGGAGTTTTCTAGGTGGCTGCCTGGTGGAGATTTGGAGGCAGGCCATAGTTTTTTTAGGGCTATAGCTGGTTTTCAAAGGCCCACTCATCCCCTAGGTAGGGACTCCAGGTACCAGATGTATACCTCCCAGTTGAATAATGGCTTCTTATTGGCCAGTCTTGCAGAGAGACTCCTGGGCAGTTGCATTTCTATATATATCTTGAGCTGAGTGGTGAGTAGAGGTATAGAGCTGGCCAAGAGGGAACTTCACTGTTTTGCTTGTTTGTGTTCATGGCCACCTCTTCCCTCAGGCAGTGGGATATAGTCACTGCTTGGCTGGGCCTGTACTTAGTGAGGTTTGCTAGATCTAAGTTTGCCTCGGCACTCAGGGGCCTTGCGCTCTTAATTGGCTTCTTCACTCAAGGCTGGTGCTCTGTTTCTTGAGCCACACCTCCTCTTCTGATGTTTTGCTGGTTCATTGGAGAGTCTCACAGACTTTTCTGCTTGGGCTGGCTTTAAACTGTGATCATCCGATCTCAGCCTCCTAGTAGCTAGGATTACAGGCATGAGCCATTGGCACCTGGCTTCTACTATCCTTTTTTAAAGGCAAGTGCAATTGTCTTTAAGCTTTTTGAAGAACTATTTCTGTTAATGAAAATAACTTATTCCCTTCAGATATATTAATGCATTATCTCATAGTTCAAGTACAATTAGAGTGAGCAACTCAGTTTTGTTTAAAGCATCAAAATTTGGCTGTCTTCTTATATCTGATTTGATTACTGCCATTTTTACCTTATGTGGATAGCAAAGAGATTATTTTCTGGAAAGGGAAAAGACCCATTCTTCACATGACTGCTACTCTTTTCTTTTTTTTTTCTTTTCTTTTTATTTTTGGGTAACAGAACTGGTTTTATTTACTTTTATTTATTTATTTATTTACTTCTTTTTGTGCCAGACCTGGGGCTTGCACTCAGGGTCGGGGTGTTGTCTCTGATCTTTTTTGTGCAAGGCTGCGCTCTACCACTTGAACCACAGCTCCACTTCTGGCTTTTTTTGTGTATATAGTTAATTGAAAGTCTCACAGACTTTCCTGTATTGGCTGGGCTTGAACCATTATCCTCAGATCTTAGCCTCCTGAGTAGCAGCTAGGACAGGCATGAGCCACCAGTGTCCAGCAGTACTGGGGTTGACATTTAAGATTTCATACTTCCTAGGCAAATGCTATATCCGTTGAGTCACAGATAGCCCTTTTTGTTTCAGTTTGCTTTGCCCTTTTTTTTTTTTAATAGGTAGGGTTTATGCTTTTGCCTTTGTGGGCCTTGAATCACAATCCTCCTATTTCCAACTCAGTAGTAGTTGGAATTACAGGTGTGTATAATGCACTGCCTTATTTGTTGAGATAGGATCCCATGTTTTGTTCAGTCAACTTTCAAACCCCATCCTCTTATTTCTGTATTCTGTGTAGCTAGGATTATAGACATGTACAATTATGCCTGGCCCATAACAATTTCCCTAGATTCATTGGAAGGCATTTTTTATCTTTTTATGCTACTGGAGATAGAACCAAGGGATTTGAGCATGCTAGGCAAGAGCTGTATTGCTAAGTTACATGGCTAGCCCATTTTTATATTTTTATTTTGAGACAGTGTCTTGGTAAACTGCTCAGGCTGGCCTTAAATGCATTCTTGTAGATCTCAACCTCTTAGTAGCTGGGATTATAGCTACTCATCAGTGTACTTGACTTTTCTTTTTGAATTTCATTTATAAGAGGGCATTACTGGGGCTGGGAAGGTGGCTCAGTGGTAGAGCGCTTGCATGACTGAGGCCCTGGGTTCAATTCCTCAGCATCACATAAGCAAAAAGAAAAAACCCGTAAGTGGTGCTGTGGCTCAAGTGTAGAGCGCTAGCCTTGAGCTGAAGAGCTGAGGGTCAGCGCCCAGGCCCAGAGTTCAGGTCCCACGACCGGACCCCCAAAAAAAATAAAAAATAAAAAAAAGAAGGCATTACTTTCATATTGGTGACATACTCAAACCTGACAGAAGTTAGGTAAGAGCAGTTATCTCATGTCTATGTCTTTCATATTGGTGACATACTTGAACCTGACAGAAGTTAGGTAAGAGCAGTTATCTCACATCTATTAAGAGGATTTTGTGACCTGCACTAGTAACTCAATACCTATAATCCTAGCTACTCTGGAGGTTGAGATCTGAGGATCTTGGTTCAAAACCAGCCTGAGCAGGAAAGTCCCTGAGACTTTTTTTTTTTGGGTCCGGTCGTGGAGCCTGAACTCTGGGCTTGGGCACTGTCCCTCAGCTCAAGGCTAGCGCTCTACCACTTGAGCCACAGCGCCACTTCCGGCTTTTTTTCTTATTGCTTATGTGGTGCTGAGGAATCAAACCCAGGGCCTCATGCATGCAAGGCAAGCGGCTCTACCACTGAGCCACCTTCCCAGCCCTCCCTGAGACTTTTTATCTACAATGAACCACCAAAATGCTAGAAGTGGAGGTGTGGCTCAAGTGGAAGAATACTAGCCTTGAGCAGAAAGAGATAAAAGATAGCACCCAGACCCTGAATTTAAGCCCCAGTACTGGAACCAACAAAAAAAAGAAAAAGAGGATTTTGCTGCTTATGTTGTAATCATGGCTTAAGTTTTGAATATTTTTTCAATGTAAATTTTCTACATACCCCCAGTACAAAACAGAAAATCAGAAATTTAGAGGCAGAAGGTAGTAGTTTAGCATTTCGAGATAATAAATTCAGCCTTCTCAGTTTATGGAAATTGAGGCCTGATGTCTCAGAGCTGGTGAACAGAAGATCTGCTACTCACAGACTTCTAAATTCTGCTAAGTGCAGAGCATTTACCTGCTGGAGTCTCCCCGGCACCAAACACATCCTTCAAAGGTGACAGTATTGATCTTTTTTTTTTCCTGCTGGTACTGAGACTTGAATCAGGACCTTGCAATCTTGCTTAGCTTTTTTGGCTCCAGATTGGTACTCTACCATTTGAGCTACACCTCTTATTTCTGGCTTTTTGCTGGTTAATTGGAGACAAGAGTCTCAGGGACTTTCCTGCCAGGGTTGGCTTTGAACCATGATCTTTAGCTCTCAGCCTCCTGAGTAGCTAGGATGACAGCTAGTAGCTAGGATTACAGATACCGGGCAGGAATATATTGATAATTGGGTGGAGAACAGTTGCCAGCATATTCATGGGTTGTTACTTTAAACCTTCAGTGTGTGTTGTGTGCTCAGATAATGAGAAAATGAAATTAAACTTGGTGAACCTCTTCTCTACCATAATTTTCTTTTTCAGGAAACCTAAAAGTTTTTCGTGATGATGGTGTGTTTTGGGTGACTTTCTCCTGTATAGCCATCCTCATTCCAGTAGTTTTCATGGGCTGCCTAAGAATAGTAAGTGTTTTATAAAAAATTAGATTTACTCTCTCTTTCTTTTGGTAGTGTGGCTTGAACTCAGGGCCTTGCACTCTTACTTGAATTTTTGCTCAGTGCTGGCACTCTGCCACTTATGTCACACTTCATATCTGGCTTTTTTGTTCAGGTCCTGGGGCTTGAACTCAGCGACTGAGTGCTATCCCTGAGCCTTTTTGCTTATGGCTAGCACTGTGTTACCACATGAGCTACAGCTCCACTTCTGGTTCTTTTAGCAGTTAATTGGATATAAGAGTCTCATAGACTCTCCTGCCTAGGCTAGCCTTGAACCATGATCCTCAGATCTCAGCTTCCTGAGTAGCCAGGATTTTAGGCATGAGCCACCAGTGCCCAGCATATGTCTTGTTTTTTTGCTAGTTAATTGGAGATAAGAGACTTATATACTTTCTTGCCTAGCCTGATTTTGAGCCTTGATCCTCAGCTATCAGTCTCCTGAGTAGCTAGGATTACAGGTGTGAACTACCAGTTCCAACACTAGGCAAGAGATTTTTTTTTCTTTTTTTAGTACTGGTACTGGGGCTTGAAATTAGGGCCTTAGTGCTGTCCCTTAGCTTTTTTCCTTCAAGCCTGGTACTCTTCCACTTGAGATATAGCTCCCCTCTGTGCTTTTTGCTGGTTAATTTGAGATAAGAGTCTTTTGGATTTGTCTGCTTGGGCTGGCTTTGAACCTCAATCTTCAGATCTCAGTTTCCTGGGTAGCTTAGGGGTATTGGTATGAACCACCAGCACCTGGCCTAGGCAATAGACTCTTCTGAGATTGACATTGTACTAGAAGAGGGTTTTGTGGTGCATGGCTGTTATTTTGATCCATTGCATTATAAGCATCCACTGTGGAAGTCAAGGGTGGTTTTGAGTTTATATTTTCAAGTAATCTTTATCTTTTCATAGGGAGAAGTGACTCCTTGTGTTGGAGCCGGTTGTGATAGGCATGTTCTGCCAGGGATCATTAATGCCTCACTCTTCACCTCTTCCACAGCTAAACATCCTGACTTGTGGAATCATTGGCTCCTACTCTGTGGTTCTGGCCATTGGCAGCTACGTGTTCACAAGTCTTTCTTCCATCACCTTGAATGTCCTCAGGAGAGCACTCAATGCGGATTTCAATAAGGCTTTCACAAATGTGCCTTTTCAAACCAATGGTAGGACTTGTAAAAGCCCCTCAAACTGGGGGAGGGCAATGGAGAGACTCAGGAATGGAGGAAGGATGAGGAAATGCAGTCCTTTTTTTTTTTTTTGAGTTAACATTTTTTAATTTTTTTTTTTTTTTTGTCAGGCATGGGGCTTGAACTCTGGGCTTGAGTACTGTCCCTGCGCTTTCAGCTCAAGGTGAGCACTCTGCCTCTTGAGCCACAGCGCCACTTCCGGCTTTCTAGTGGTTATTGGAGATAAGAGTCTCACGGATTTTCCTGCCTGGGCTGGCTTTGAACTGTGAACCTTAGATCTCAGCCTTCTGAGTAGCTAGGATTATAGGCGAGAGCCACCAGGCGCCTGGCTAAATTTTTTTTTTTTTTTGGTTGGTCATGGGGCCTGAACTCTGGGCCTGGGTGCTATCCCTCAATTCTTCAGCTCAAGGCTAGTGGTCTAACATTTAAGCCACAGCACCACTTCTGGCTTTTTCTGCTTCTGTGGTGCTGAGGAATCGAATCCAGGGCTTCAAGCAGGCAAGGTAAGCACTCTACCACTGAGCCACCTTCCTAGACATAAAAATGTTTTTGGTTGTTATTATTTTAAAATCTTTTTATTGTTATCAAGGTGATATACAGAGGAGTTACAGTTACATAAGCCATGTAAAGAGTGCATTTCTGGGCTGGGAATGTGGCTTAGTGGTAGAGTTCTTGTCTAGCATTCATGAGGCCCTGGGTTCGTTTCCTCAGTACCATATAAATAGAAAAAGCCAGAAATGATGCTGTGGCCCAACTGGTAGAATGCTAACCTTGAGCAAAAGAAGCTCAGGGATAGTGCCCAGGCCCTGAGTTCAAGCCCCAGGACGGGCCAGAATAAAGTGTACATTCCTTTTTGGATAATGTCACCCATTCCTTCATTATCTTCTAGTCTTTTCCTCCCATGCTCACCTCACCTACAAGATGTATAGTTCATTTTCAACAGTATCCAGTGAGAACCACTGATGCAAAAATGTTTTATTTTGGGGGCTGGGAAGGTGGCTCAGTGGTAGAGCACTTGCCTTGTATGCCTGAAGCCCTGGGTTCGATTCCTCAGCACCACATAAAAGAAAAAAGCCGGAAGTGGTGCTGTGGCTCAAGTGGTAGAGCACTAGCCTTGAGCTGAAGAGCTAAGGGACAGCGCCCAGGCCCAGAGTTCAGGCCC